ATGTACATAAAAGCATTTTAATTTTGTTTCATAAATATATTTTTATTTAAAGTTTATGTTCATGTTTCATTGCAGCCGTACTTTTGTTTATTGTGCCGAATAAACTGTGGGGTTAGCAGCATGAACTTTGTACATTTTCCCTAAACTATCTCACCCCTGTTGGGGGGTCACTCTCGTTCAGCCCAGCGCGGGCGCATTTGAACATTACTGTGGATATGATAGTAAGAAAGCTTTTTGGTACTTGAATATAATTTCTTTGAACTTTCAAACAAGTTTATTTAAACATATGTCCATGTATGTTGTTTTACTATAGAGACAAAACTAATTGCCACTACTAGCGAATGTATGTATACATCCTGTTAGAAGAGATTACCAAAGGATACAGACAACATTAAATTACAAAGAAAATTCCTTTACAGCACTTAAAAGATTAGTCCTAATCACATTCCTCTCATTATAGGCAAGATTTATGTTGGAATTCGAAACTTTAGCTTTTCAGTGTATTGAGACCCCAACTGTGAGAATGTCATAGCTTCCCCTGTATTATTGAGATGAATGTATTTAGCCTGTTTCACAACCAACATATAGGTTTCATTGTTGTCACTTGTACACTGAGTTTTAAACCATTTGCAAAATGTCAGAACTGAGGTTCAACAAGCCCAGACGCTGTTTTATAAAGAAAACAGACTAGAAAAAGGTTTAGATACCAATCATAGACTGTTTTAATTCTAAAGCAATAACAACAGAAGTGTGGGTCTTACTACAAAGTAAATTGCATCGTATATTTATTTATTTCAATGGTTATATTGAAAAATTAACTAAAATTAGATATAATTTCTAGGAAAGAAGTTGATCCACGATTGTTAGGGTTAAGTGCTATCGAGTGGTGTGTGCAAGGTCTTTTCATCAAGTAGACTTAGCACTTTGAACTGAAAGAGTTTGTGATTTTTTATATTCTTTTGCATTTAAGTTTGTAGTTTTAAGTTCAATAATTTAGCGTAATTTTATATTTAGTTCATAATAATAATAATAATAATATGTTTCAGTATTTCGAATGATAAACTTGTGAGATTTGTACTTAATTCTACTGGTACCAGTACCACAAAAATTTTGTATTTTTCCCCCTTACAATCCATCACTTAAGCTATGATAGAAAATAATAAAAGTCACGTACATCCCATGTATTTTATTCCACAAGCAAGTTTTCTAACGTTTATAAAAAAGTACTTTACGACACCGAGGTCACGTGACTAGTATCACGCCACGTCATTCTCGAACTTTCACGTCTTTTCCTTAAATCTCGTGATCTTTCTAGATATAGTGTAGTCTTGTATATTGTTGCTTCAGCGAGGTCACGTGATTAGTGTCACGCCACATGCTTCTAGAAATATTCTGTTCCTTCAAGAATGCCCTAGCATTTTTAGATATGTGTTAGTCTTGTATATATAAGACGTTCACAACATGACAGGAGAACAGTGTAATGAGTAATTGATCTGCAGTCAGAGAGAATTGTTGCGTAATCGAGATCACGTGACTATTCTCACGCC